ACTCTTTGGTGTACAGCTATCACCTTGAAACTTTGGAAAGAGCATGAAGAAAAAATTAAAAGGGCAAAGCAAAAAGACGTTGACTCCATATAGTCCCTTTCACAGTTCCCTGCGCGATCTTGAAAGGTGGCCGTGCCTTTGCATTGAAGCAAAGGTGAACTTGCAATGATAGAGACCTTTTTTGAAACCCATTTCAGACCACGTCTGATTTCCTAGAGTATTATTGTTTAATGGTTTCACAAGAAAAGACACGTGAATATGGATACAACTCGAACAAAAAATCTTATTCTCAAGACCACGTGTCATTCCATTGAGTATCATTTCTTTGTTTAATGGTTTCACGAGAAAAGACACGTGAATATGGATACAACTCGAACAAAAAATCTTATTCTCAAGAGAGAGACATGTAATAAATCTGACATGATTAGTTTTAGGTGGATTAGATCCATTCTATTGATGGCCTACCTTTCCAGCATCAACAACATCAGAGTGTCTTCTTATCTCCTGCGCGTAGATCTCCGTTAACACGTTTGGTGTTGGTTTCGTTGACCGGTTTACCGGAGGGGACATCATCTGTATCGTTTATTTGGTATACCGGCTTCGGCGGAAAGAAAAACAACATAATGAAAGTATTATGAAAAAAATTAAGAACAAGACAGAAGAAACAGTGATCACCAATGACGTCATGGACAACTCATATTATTCAGCAGGTGACGTCATTACGAATTYAAGAAATCCAGAGAAAGCAAAAGCTGGCGAAATAGAAGCTCCAGGTTACATGGAATTACAACCAAGACAAAGCAGTAATACGATTTACCAGTCAATACAAGAGCCTGGAAACAGACATAGAAAAAGTGAAACACAACACACGCGAGGCATGACGRGMCATGAACAATACATGGAMTTAARACCAAGAGTAARCACCGAATAYGAAACACTACAACAGCACAAAAAATATGCACGAGAACCAGACTACGAGGATGTTAACCAAGGTTTTAGTAGGAACATAACTGTTGATGCTACAGAAGCGTAGTTTGATGGCAGTTACTGATATTTGGTTCGGGAAGCCGGATTGAGACAGGAAGACAACAATAGGACCGATAGATCTTTAAGCTTGGAAATCGTTGCAATGACGTCTTAGATAACAAGTTAAAAAATTGACCACTATATGCGCAAGAACTTACGTGGAGTCATCTATTCTGTTATTTTTAACCGTTAGATTTTATAGTTACGGTTTAGTATTGCTTATGGCTTTTGTTTCTAATATCTTT